CTGAGCGCTTTTCAGCTGAAATGTGCATTTACGCTTTGGTATCCATGACACAGTCTATTCTATTGTCTAGAGAAGCCATCGTGGTGGCAATGGAGCCTAAATGAGGCCAATAATGGTCCTGTGCTCTGTCCCCAGAGTCTTGCCTGTTTAAAAATCGATTCTCTGCTTGACTGGGGACAGGCTGGGAATAGAGAGCACTGGAAGAAATGGAGAGGAAAGAGCCAGAAGAAGGAGGGTTACCAAAGGTTACCCCACATACAACGATACAGAAACTTTACAAAAGCCAGCTGCCAATTTGGGCCAGGTACAAGACAGGCCATGGTGGCATGAAGCGTTCACAAAAATCAATTGTATTTGTCATTTAAAATACTTTCTTAAATATGATATTAAGTTTAGCCAATAGTTAGAATGTATTGACATGTTAAGATTGGTATGATATTTGACCATGATATTGAACACGTACAAATTGTAAACATCTAAGCAGAGACACCCAGACTTCCCTCTCCACACACACATCCTCCACTTCATCCAGTGTAATCCCGAGGTGTTCCAAAGCCAGATGAGAGACACAGTTATATAGATGTCTTTGTTTTGAAAAAGCCATTTTTTTTAATAATAATAATGCATAGTTTTTAATAGTTTTTTCCTGGACACACTTTACATTATTCATTCACTTTATACACGGTGGTAATAAACTACTGTCGCCACAGCTGCCCTGGGACACACTGATAGAAGCGAGGCAACCAGTATGTGCCATCGGCCCCTCTGACCGCCACCAACCATTCACACACACACACCAGACTCATTCTAGACAATGGGGGTGAAGTGTCTTGCCTAAGGACACAACGGCGTTTTGGCACTTCACTGTCCCCAGAGTTTAACGGCAGCAGTGGAAGTCGGTGGAGACAGTCTTGTGGTGGCCTCGAACCCACGACCTTCAGTTGCTCTACCAACTGAGCCACTGTCGCCCCAAACACGAAGGCCTATCTTTATGTTTTGTCATTGGCAGTACATTTGAAAGAAATAGCTCAAGAAGGAGTGAAACTTTAGTTGTACGGTACTATAATATATCTGGCTTTTCACAAAATGACTTGGTTAAGAGAAAATTGTGAGGCTTTCTGAAAATGTCCCTTATCTGTTTTTGCATAATAACAGCAGTAGTATGATATTTTACAAAGTTGCCGATATTATACAAATCACTACACAAAGCCTATAACATAAGGTTCACATGATTTGTATTTAAGAAATGCAATTCCCCTCCGGATTTTGTCTTTACTATATTTCTGCTTATTGTCTTGCTGTTGCATCCTGAGTAGACCATATGCTTGTGCGTAAGCTGGGAGCGATGGAGAATTAGATCAAATTACTCGCAATATGGTCGTACAAAGCCTTAACAATAGAACTTAACGCAAAAACACAAGCACAAACTCTTCGTGGAATGCAATTATTCTATTTTTGGATTTCACCGTTGATCGACCAAAGACAAAGAAGTCAATTAAGCGGGAAACAAAAGTTACACTAAGTCCATGTCTTCTCTCATTGTTCCTTCTGCGTGAGTCTTATTAAGAAACTTTTCCTGGAATAAGACAGTACATCCAAGAACTTTATAGCGGTTCTGACAATGCAGGCCCGCAGTGATGGATTAGAGTCTAACTGTAAAAACTGCTCTGAGTGATTTGGAGAAAATGAAGTGAGCCAAGCATTCAAGTCATGCGCTGAAAAACTGTGGCAATAAAGTTACACATTAAGATCTCAAGCGACAAAACACCGGCCTATATACAAAGCAGAGCAACAACACAAAACATTGGCGACTTACCAAAGAGATGCGGAAAGTCTGTCAACGCAAAAGAAGAAGCAGCTAGAAATTAATGTCACTTTTGTCTGCCAAGGATATACAGTACAGGCAATGGTGGAAACCCTGGACCAATCAGAAAAAGGCTTGTGGGAGGCGCTGAACGGCAATAGCCAATCAGAAAATTAGGGGATGAGATAAATATTACATTGTGTGCGATTGTTGACGATGTATTGTGGTGGTCTCTATATATAATGTATGTTTCCAAGGCCTTGAGTTCCATGAGTCCTCAGAGAAAAAGTGATCCAAAAAATAAGGGCCAATTTGGACACGTTCTGGAGCAATATACGAAAACAAGTAAAGGCCGATGCACAAGAGTGAAGTCTCCAGAGATTTAAATTTGGTTTGGTCGATCAATACTTAACTGTAGTCTATACAGAGTTTTGGGGCACTGCGATTTGAGCCATGTACGATTGTGAACCATAAGGAAACTAATACAGCAAACCCAGACATTAATAAGCTGTCCTGGGAACCTTATACGTTTCAGAGATAAGATGTTGAATTACAAATACTTAGCAATTAATAAATGACATTACATCCTAAGAAGATACAACACATATATGTTTCCTGCCGCACCTATGGGTAGTTGATATATATATATTGCCCCTTTTGAACGCTTAAAATTCTAAATTGCAAAATTCACTGAACTATTTCATGAAAGAAAAACATTATGCACATACAGTACATATATTTAAAAAAAAGTAAAGAAGCCTTGACAAGCAGAGGCCAGAAAAAATCAATTCAACATTACATTTTCAAAAAGGCCGATTTAACTGATTAATTCAATGACCTACAGTATATATAAGCAGGGTGCAAACATCAAACAGAGTGTTTAGAATGAAAAACCTGACTTTTTATGGGGTTTTATACACACATATTGTTTGTACGCTCAGGCGAAAGCACTGGCACGCAGATTTGGATCCAGACCAGGTCAAAATGAGGCTGTTCAAGACGTACTGTGCACCCCTCTACAGTCTCTGCTCATCTTAAGTCCAATTATAAAAAATGAAGTCTGGAAAAGCTGCATGTGGCTTAAAATAATCCTTTCCGAGTGCTTCTCAGGACACCGAGATGGACCAGTGCGAGTGAGATGTATGTTGTTGACGATCGAACAGGTCAGACAATGAAATAGTTGTCTCACTGGTTGATTTCCGTTGTAGTGCAGCCCGTTTTCAGTCGAGGATGTGGACGCCCTGGTATCGCTGTCTTTTGTTTTTGTTTTTTTACTTTCAACCTTTTTTTTACATACTGAGAGCTGATTGGCTGTGTGAGGGACAGTACTTATTTACTGAAAAAGCTGATCTAGACAGAGAGATTTCAACAATACATGTGTGAAAGCTAGTGATATAACCAAACTGTTTTGAGAGCGAGGAAGAAATGACATTAATAACAACTTGTCGGGCAAATAACTTTTTTTCAATTTTTTTTATAAACCAAACCAAGTCCAGACTACAGAGCAGTCTACACAATCAGCGCGCACACACACACACACACACACACACACACACACACACACACACAAAGCCCCAGAGCCTCATCGATTGCTCTTCCACCAGCAGCTCTGCCTCAGCTGTAGTGAGGGCCTCAGTGATGGGAGAGGGCCCTACAGGGAGCAGTACAGTTACCTCAGAGGAAATCTCATTATGGCCTTTTCAGTGAGCAGAAACTATTGTGGGACAGTAAATTTGAGAGTGCACTGCGATTGTTACAGAAGCAGTATAGTCTGAAAGTTTTCACCATTAGCCCAGGACCAGAGCGAGAGAGTGACCGGATATTGATGCTCCGAGTTGACTTATAAAATGGACACGTTTCTAAGTTGTTCTACCGACTCTTTTGGTTGTTCAATATTGGATCATTGAGAAGTCTAACCAGTGTTAAATGTGGATGAATATTGGACAGTTTGAATCAAAAGTATCTTTTTTTCTTCAACAAACCACCTGCCACCACCTAAATAATAAAATACAAAAATGCTTTTTGGACTTTCAAAGACCCTTTATGTTGCAGTATTTATTCACTCCACAAGCCGTAATGAAGAGGAAGACACACTAGAGAATGCAGCCGGTTACTTAAAGCTAGGCTATCTAAATTCCAAGCCACCAAAAAATGGAACAAAGTAATATAACCCATTTAACCAGTTCCTCACTCTCAAACACTTATTTTCATGTGCATGTATTGTTGAGCATGTCTCTTTTCTATTAAGACAAAGAAGACACTGTGTCTGATTTGTGTCTGATGTGCTAAAATAAACTTGCCTTGCCTTGATTTGTTCGCAATATATTATCTGTGTAACACAACAAGTGTTATTTGAGAAGAAAAGCATTGGCACCACAGCTTTAACTATTACCACTACTATCCACCAATCATAAAAGTCTGATTACGAGGCCACAATATGTAGCATAATATAAACAAAGAACATTCACAAACACTTCATCTTCTGATGTTTATTCTGCTCATATTCGTATTCTCATATTCTCTGCTGCTAATGTATAATATAGACATCTGTAAATACTCCGAACCAAGTGCAATTATAGCCCAGAGTTTCTTATTTTATTTTATTTTATCTTAAATTTATTGTCTATTATCTTAAATAATAGACTTTGATGTGTGCAATCTGAGTGCTCTTATTTCCCTTCTCTGCTGTAATGTGCAACGATGACACTGAAATTTCTCCACTGTGAGACTAATAAAGGTTTATCTTATCTTATCTTATCTTTATCATTTCGATGATTCTGGTTACATTTTCATACTAGTCGGGTTTTTCACAGCTGTGAGCCATAATTGTCATTATTATAACAAATAAAGCTTGACCTATCGCACTTTGCCTGTTTTGAGTCTGTCATATATTAGTTTCACGTTATACGTTGAAAGTAAATAGACTTTTTAACGATACTCTAGTTTTCCGAGTTTCACCTGTATACAGTGTGGTTAGGCAAAACTGGAAACATTAGCAAACATAAAAATCACTAGGTGAATCTTTTCTCATTTGAAATCACAACACTGCCCTTGAATGCGACGGAGAAGAAGGTGCTAAAATGGCATAGACAGACTCGACATATGTACGGCTTGTAATCAGCCGATGGGTGGTCCTCCCCAGGTTACTTTGGCGCGGACTCTGGTATGATGTGAACATGTTAGGATCAGAGCAGACATGAGAGGCCACGCTGAGGAGTCCGGTCTTATGAAGGAGATGATGGGAGGGGGGAGGAGAAAAGAGGGGGAGAAGGGGGGGCTCCAAGACTGCAAGACCAGGACCAGAGCCAGGTCACAGCGTGGAGCCAGGACACACTGACTGGGCCTATGTGTTACATCAGGCATTTTGCAAATCATTCTCTGTAAAAATGTTTGAAAGACACGCGGACACATTAGGGGGTGAGTAAGTTATTGCAGTAAAAACGGCCTCAAACGTTAATCCAAACATTGTATTTTATAGCTTCCATTCAAATGACTTAATAGCAGTGGTAGTATAAGCAAGCATAATTATTCATATCTTAAATATTTAGCAGCAATGGGAATCATGCATGTAGCATAATATAGAAAAAGAACATTCACGGACACTTCATCTCTTGCAGATGTTCAAAATGAAAATATTGTGAATTTTAGGTAGTCATGGCTACCTATAATGGCTTTATCCCTCCCAACCACAACAAAAATAGTCGATTAAACGTCCATCCATTTGTATAATTTCTTATACTTTATCCATTTCTGCACCAACGCCCAGATTTCCCTCCCCATGCACACTTCCTCCAGCTCATCCGGGGGATACCGAGGCATTCCCAGGCCAGCTGACAGACAAAGTCCCTCCAACATGTCCTAGTTCTTCCCCAGGGTCTCCTCCTGGTGAGACGTGCTTGGAATACTTCCCAAGGAGGCGTTCAGTAGGCGTCCAGAACAGATGTCTGAGCCACCTCAGCTGACTCTTCTTGACAGGGAGAAGCAGCAGCTCTACTCAGAGCTCCTCCTGAGTGACTGAGATCCTCACCCCTCCCATCTCTGGGGTGAGGATCATTCTCATTCTGACTGCTTGTATACACAGTGTTGTCACTCACAATTATGAAACAGTTGAAGACAAGATCAGTCTGAAATATCACTATGTCCAGTGTTCAGTCACTGAGCTCCATTGTGCTCTTGAAAGCTCTGTGAAACATTAACTTGAACAAGCACATTGTAAACACAGCCCTGAAGCTCTCCTTTACAACCTCTAATAGAGCTCATCTTTCAGGCCATGTCTGAAAGAACTCAAGCATTTAAGACCTCTTTACAGCGGGCTGAGACTTGCCCGCATACTACTGACCACTGGTAGAGAACAAAACATTTTGGCCACAGCAGCTGTACAGGGCTCGTCCACTGGGACCGTTAGTTCCGGAAATGTGAGAAAAAGAAAAGGAGAGCCTGGTGCATTACAGCTTCTGTAAACTGTTGAAGTATTCCACAACTTTGATTGGGAGGTGGGACACCAGAGGCTCCAATGTGGTGGCCGTTCGTCCTCACAAGTTTCCCTAGATGGGTCATTTTTAGGACAATTTTACTCACAAGGGCAGTAAAGTATACCATAACCTAACTACTTAGAAGCTAAGCCAATCAGGGCCTGGGGTGGTGGTCAGAGGGACCTATAGTGAATATTGGGAACCTTGCTTTGGTCAGTGTAATCCAGGACAGCAAGACATGATTATACTGTACAGAAAAGCCTCAAATGTGAGACATGCAATGTATATAGGTTCATTTGAAAATAGATATATACATGTTCTACATTTTCAAATTTGTATGTGGAGAAGCCCGGTTGCAGATGTCATAGAGAGGGTATTGGATGGTTTTCAGACTCCTGCCCCGTCTGATGGCATGTTGCTGAGTATGTGTGTGTGTCATCTCCACATGGCCCATGGGTTACCGAGAGGACTGGGCCTGAACGATTCAATGTGACAGCTCAGAGAATGATTCCATTACAGCTGTTGGAGGCCACTCTGTTTGAGCTACTTGAAAAGATGCAAGAAGACAGAAATTCTGAATTAGAATATGACCTGGTCATGTTTATTATAGTCAGCACCTGTGGCAACTCTATGAATCGGTTCATAGAGTTTCTTCCCCCTGTTTTTTTTTTTCATCTTTGACAAATGCTTTACAAATCACATTACTATCAGTGCTGTGTCTTGTCATAGGGCACTTGGAGGTAAAACATCAACCTAAAAATAAAGTGAACTGATATGATCATATTTCAAAGCTTAATTGCCCCATTTGAGAAAGAGCGTTAACATGTTGAAGGTTTTCAGGTTAGCAACTAACTACCATTGTCTTCATTTATGAAATGGAAAACTGATTTATTGCAAAGGTAAGAGGCTCTGGAGAGGCACTCCATCACGTGCTGTTCTTCCTGTACTGCTTATTGTTTTTTCATTGTCGATCACTATGATGGCCTGCTAAAAATGCTCATGTCCAAATATGAATTTCTAGAAGCATGATCAGAGCGAGGTGCTTCTGAGAGCAGCGCCGTGGCTCAGTAATGAACCAGTCTCAAGCACCCTGCACCCCGCACACAAATCACAGGCCCTCCTCCGCTCTCAGCATTGACTGACAAGCTAAAAGCCTTCACTCGACGGAGCATTCTCATTCACATTATTATTTTGAGATTGTATGTATCTCTGCATAATTGAACATTTTGAACCCTTAAGCCAATGTGCCTTTAATGAATCTCAGCTCCCACATCAAAATGATTATTTCTAAACAAACCGTGTTTAATCGACTGCATGCCTCTTCGGTTCTTTCCATCTGGAGGATGCTGTGTGACAGCTTCTCTTAAATTACAAATATCAATCTGCCACAGTGGGAGCTCAGCTGCTAGTGGCCTCATGGGAGTCTGCGTCAGCAGCCTTCAAAACAAAGCCATCAAAAGGCCTGCCATGTCGGTCAGCAGCAGCTAAAGCCAGTGATGCACAGATCCAGGTTGATCTGACAAACCCTCATAATACAACCCTGAGCTGGCCTTGGTGGCACAATGAATGTGGAGTTTACCCAGTGTTCTGGGTCAGCTGGGCCTCTCTCTCCCCCAAGGCACAGACCGACAGACGCTCACACTCAGGGCTCCAATCTGCTGTGTGATCAGCAGGCTCTCCCTGAGCATGTCCCCCGCCTCACACCGGCTGTCCCTGCACCACCACCACTTACACTTCATCCACCCGTTTATTGATACACTGCGCTGCAGGAGTGCCCTGGAGTGCTGCTTGGGAAAGTGAGGGTCTGAGGGCTGGACTAATTCAATCAGCAGCAGGGGAAAACACACTTATCATTCATCACCAACACAAGACACAAGCGGACATGCTGCTGCAGCAATACTGTTCACATGTCTGTAACACACACAGCACAAGATTTATGGAGTTTTGCTGGACACGACTGTCCAAGACGTCTGCAGACACAAATTTTTATGACTCCCACAGGGTTATTTGTTTTTTACAGTTTACATGGCTCTATATTGTCTGCTAATGCTTTACAACACACAACACTGCCACGTACCGTGGTGTCCGGTCAACATAATGGCAGCTTCAATCATGAAGTCAATTTGTGTGCATGTGAGTGTGCGCACGCAGGTGTGTGTTAAATGGGATTATAAGACTCGTATTTTTTTAACTGAAATATGTTGTTGTGTGACTGTGTTTTCTCCACACATAATGAAACTACATATAATGCGTCGAAATAACACAAATACAACTGTAAGGACGTTGTGTGCTTCAGGACCACGGACAGTTCCCTCATCCCTCTGTGGTGGTCAGGATGATCGGACCTGTAACCAGCAGCAAGTGATAGACACTATGGCCTGAACTGCAGAGTGGCTGATAACGTGAACTGGGAGGTGGCTCACCTCCAGCTGGCCTCGGGGATGACGCCCCTGCCAGCACCGAGGGATATAGGTCACCTGACAAAGTGGAGGAAAATAGCTTTCACAAGCAGTGCGTGTGACACCACGCAAACTACCGTCACTGCGGGGTTCGTAGTTACCGTGACCAGCGCGCACAACTTTCATGTCCCTTTCAAACCCCGCACTAGAGTTTCGGGCTAAACATTCACTTAGAAGAAAACATAACAGAACGGATGTACTTTGTAGCCTTTGCGTTTTCTTCAAATCTCATCAATCGTTCTCCAGTCAGATTCCTGCGTCATGCGTCGGCATTTTGCTCAGTTTCGCGGAGCGCGCAGCACGCTCTCGTGAGAAACTCCAGTACAGTATCCACATACATGTACATGACGTACCAACGTGTCATTGTGAGTTAAACATATGACGCCACTTTCTCATAATGACAGCCAGCTCCACATCAAACACAAGGAGTGGTTGGCTCATGAGCGCTCAGACACACGCGCAAGTTTCTGTGGTGCATCCAAACGAGTGTATTGTAGCCGGTGCTAAATCGTCGCCTCGGTACAAGCAGTAGCCTATATTCCGAGTATAAAGGCTGGATCGTGCGCATAATAAGGCTTATACTGGCAGACTGCCTTGAGGGAGAGCTGCCGCTTGGTTTGCACCTTTATCTAAATCCTCTCCTTAGTGAGCTCCAGTGAGCCCGGCGGCTCTGTGCGTGCGTGCGTGTGTCTGTGTATGTGTGTGTGTGTGTGTATGTGTACGTGCATGTTCGCGTGCATGTGTACGCGTGTGTGTATGTGTGTGTGAGAGAGAGTGAGAGAGAGACTGCACTGCAGAGGGCTTCTACAGCTTCTCTTGCAATGATTGCGCTCATGAACAAATAATCAAATGCAACACTACATACATGACTACATCTCACTGACAATAAACAGTTTGATAGATCCGTGTGCGTCTTTGCAGAACGCATTTAGTTGACATGAAAAGTCTTATCGTTTAACTTTGACTTTAAACTGTCTGTCGACAACTAATTACTTCATTTAAAGGATCGAACTTTGAAAAGCCCCGTGTAAAACAGAAAACCGACCTACCTTCAACTCGATTCCAAAAATGTCTGATTAGTGAATGAAGGGGGCCTTGGACATCACAGCTCCTGGTCAACAGCGTGTGCCACTAATAGACTGTAACTCAGCAGCATCTCCCATTCAGCCAAACGGTCCGCTTTAAAATCCCAATCGGAACTGATCAGTCCCTTTGAAGAAGTGCGCCAGCCGCTCTTCTACACGCAGATGTCACTTTCACACTCGAGGTGAGAACAATGAGGGACAAGATTGAAAAACATAAGTTGCCGTATCAAAAATGGCTTGTGTTTAAGAATAGAGTGGCTGTCAATTGATAGACCAGTATTTGTGACAGCATACTTTTTACAATTGAATTCCAATGCGCTGGACCATCCCAGCCGCTCCTGTTGGTGCGTATCCAACCCAGCTCTGTAGAGATGACGAAAAGAAATATATGGATATAATGGCCAAATCCAATGGGGGTTTCCTCCACAGCTCCGCTCTGTAGTTGCAAATGCACACGACGCGCAGTGTTGCTCTCTCTCCTCTCCGTTTGCGCTCTCTCTCTGCTCTCTCCCTGGTCCTAGTGCACCACGCGCCGTGTCCACACTCATCGGTCTGCCGCTGAAAAGTTGGGGAAGGGGACCGGATCCTGTCTGGCTCAAGTGGAGAGGTATACGTTTTACTCCCAGCTTCATAAAGCAAATACACGTTCTAAGCTAGTTGTAAACGCATGAACTTATTGCAAAAAATAAATCATGATTAGAAAAATAAAAGTACACACTCAATTATTCACATTGAGATTAGATTTGGAATGTATAGGTTGCATTTTAATAAATTATTTAGGATTGTGCACTGGAATATTAATTTTCAGACCACCTGTCACATGTAAGACACACATTGTTGTCAATGAAAGTGTGAAATTACATACGGATACACAAGTTAGTAAGACTGCTGTATCGCTGAAAGTCAATATCTTCATACAAAATTAAACAAATAAACAACAAGAAAGGTTAAAGACTGTGGTTGAGGTCTAGTTGGTTTTAAGTTTGAAGTCAACAATAAGCAATTGGCATGGTGTGCCCAGTCATATCTGCTCCACATGACATGCCACTTGTCTTGAGCTAGTGATAACTAAGTGTGACTAGTAGTGACTGGAAACATGGGCAAAGCAAGTCTAAACATTGCATGTCCCCAGCTTAAGCTGATCACCGGAGCAGACCAGACATCCTGCAGGTTTATTCATGGTTCTGTATAAATGTTAGCCAGGACCCTCTGGTCCCCCAGCTGCTGCACTGTGTCAAGGGAGCAGACTTTGACTTCCTGATGACCTTGTCCAGCTTCTTTCTTTTCTGCTGCTGCTCACACAAACCACGCCATACAGTATGGCCTAAAATCCTGACAGAGTCACAGAGAGGTTGCCAGGAGTGCCCCCCTCATTCAGTAGTAGGGCTCCAGCTCTCAAGGAGGAGAGCATTTGGTGTTTAGATGAACATCCAGGTAATTAGGAGTTCACTTTCCCAATATCCCATTTCTGGAAGTTCACAGGAGTGGGAGTCTACAGTCTGTTTAGGACACAGCCATCATGTTGTCTTTGAAGTGTTGAGGGTGAAGTGGAACAAGGACATTAAATTAATGTATGAATATTATTGTCCTGTATACTGTATTCGACCCATCCGTCAAAGACACTAAGGCAAACTGTCAGGAGCAGTGGTCGCTACAGCTCAGCACCTGGAGACCCATTTACAATTTTTTGTGCTTTACTTGGTTAGGGCGACCTTTGCTGGAGCATATTCACCATGGTGGCCCTTTTGGTATAGTATTTGGATGCAGAATAGAGCATTTGAAAAGAACTTGAATAAAAGCACGTCATATCACCAGTTTTATCTTCAGGATGAACAGTTAAATATACAGGCCCAGGTTGTGACTAAGCCCTCCTCCTCAGTCTTTAAAAAGTCTCCCCCGGTCACTCACAGCTAAGCAGGCAGTGGATGTATCACATTGAAGATATTGGTGAGCAATGCTACAGAGAGTGCTGCGAGATCATAGGATCCACCTCCCACTCATGCTGCCGCAGTCCATTCAGACGAAAACCAAATAAAAACAGCGTCTCTTTTTAGTCTTACATTAGCGTAATCACAGTGAGATGTTGAGCTACAGTACATGACTGACAAATCACTTGGGTTCAGAAAGTTTTTTACTCCCCTTTTCTTCTGTGAGAAACTTTGAACATAGTGTTTTGTTTGTGCACTGTTTAAAGATGATACGAACATCTGGATCAGAAAATAACATGGAATTCCAATAATTGTAACTCTTGTGTAGCAAACGTAAATGTTACATTAAACAATCTCAGTTTAAAAGTTTCATATAAAAGAAGAGCAACTTGAATGTCAGAATTAATTCTTTGTAATTTCACACAAACGGTAACACTCATGAATGTGCATCAAACTTAGGCTGCAAGATTAATGGCTTGAACTGTCTGAATGTGACATTTTTCGGTCGCAATAAGCAAAACAGATTTATAAATGGAGCTTTTGCCATCATAAGAGAGACAACCTGTGTTTTACGGAGTTTTTTTTTGAAGAAGTAAAAACAGAGATTGGGAAATCTTAAAACAGTTGCGATGTTTTGAAATGAAGAAAATGACATAATTCAAGTATGTATTAGTATTATTTTATCATTTCTTTGCAGCTTGCAGCTTCTTTTAAAAATATACTTTAGATAACTTCTGAAGGCCAACATCAAACCATGGCATATGGATGCATTATTGCTACAACTTCAATCAGGATGATAATAATCTGCAGTTGAAGATAACACATTTCCCTCTAGCCCCACATAAAACATGCACATTCACGTCCAGGGATAGATCCAGGTAACAGAAAGAGCCAAACAGAGAAAAGGCTCTGGCTGCGGTCCTTCTCTGGCATCTGCATCGCCGAATGGTGACAACTCAACACGGAAACAGCATCTCATTCCGACACAGGCGGGGTTTGCTCGGATCTGGCTCTGGTGCATTTTTAACCCCAGGGGGGACACAAACATTGAGAGACAAAGGTACGAATATTACTAGGTCACAAACTGTACTTTCTGTTGGCAGCATAGAGCTGACTGTGTATATTTAACAGTGTAGCCCATGTCGGCATTAGCTTTTCTGTATGAAGCATCTTTCTGTCTTCCCGCTTTCCTCCTTTTACCTAACCAGAGAACCTGCCCCTGCTCTGGTAGTCCTGACTAAGCTGAGCATCAACCTCTGGAGATGGGTACCCCCGGTGCACTTCAGCTAATCCATACAAGTTGGAAGGATGGGTCAAATGCAGAGGACACATTTCCAATGGGGAGAATAAAATGTATCCTCCATATAATAAATATATATATTTTTTGATAAATTGGGCGTGACATCCAAAGTAGTCCTATCATCTTGAGTTTTACTGTTGTGGAAATTATTGTTCACATACACATTACATTGCTTTTGGACATTACACAACACTAGCACATGACATGCAAGACAATGATCACATGCAGTACATTTACAGGGGGCATGTATTGTAGAAACTTGGGAAAATCAACACAAGTCAATGTTACAGTGTTGTGAATTTTTAGAATAATAACACATCAGTTGTATATTGCTTTCTAGACACTCAAAGACAATTCACAGTTTAGCCCACACCCTCACGCTACTAACAGTTTCATCACTGAACATTTGAACCCTCGGAGCTAATGACTCACGACCCGAATATTCCTGCTCTATTACAGAGTGTATTACAGATTCATCCAAACAGATATATGTATGAGTTTCTTTCAACCAATTCTATTATTATTATAGATTACAGGTCTATAGTGTCAATGCATGTGATAGGTAACCATGGCAACGGGCTCTTGCTATTGTAACTCATGTGCATTGATTCCATCATAGAACCTTGATGGCTGTAGGTGTGTGGCAGTGTGTGTTGGCACTGCTCAATCAGAACAAACACACAGTTGGTCAGTTGAACCTCACACACAGTAGGTTTGATCTAAAACACAAACAAGACTTAACAGATGTTAAAAAACTCCCATAAACCCAGGGGATGTCCCATCTAACATGTACTGTATATAGGGGACTTCCTGACCATCACCATCCCCAACTTCAGCCTTTGTAATAAGCATTAAACCCCAGACCAGACGGTGCAGAGTCTGAGGAATCAGGTGACGTCTCTCACACAGAACCTACAAGTGGAAAAGCATCAAGGAGCTTCTGAGCAGAAGCCTCGGCAGCAGCAGTGTGCAGCTTGTCGAGTCTGAACAGAGAGAACAAAGACCTGCATAATAAACTCGTCAGTCTCAAAGTTATCTCGCAGCGATACCTGAAGCTCGATGGAGAAAATCTAGAGGAGCAGAAGAACAAAAATCAGAGGCTGAAGAGAAGTATCCACTCTGACATTCGCCTTGGGAGAGGAGAGGGGCACTGTCACCAAAGCTGAGAGTAAAGTGGAGATGTTTGAGACAGAGATACATGAGCTGAAGCTCTGCAGGAGGAGAGGAGCACTGCCCTGGAGCCTCAGACCAAAGTGGACTTGCTGCAGAAGGAGACACAAGACCACAAGAGAGAAGTGTCTTTTTATAGAACAGTGCCGCCTGAAGAAAAGTCCTATGTGAAAGAGGCTCAAGGGAAACAGCAGCTGCTGCTGAAAGAGACACATGAACTGGAAAAAGAGGTCTTCTCTCTGGAAGTGCAGAGAAACATTGTCTCAAATGCTCAGCGTACAGAGGACCTGCTGCAAAAGGAGGCACAGGACCTCAAGAGTGAAGTGTCCTTTCTATAATCAGCACCAGAGTTTCAGAATCACATGGACATTTTGGAGAAGGAGATGCTCCAGCTGCTGTCAGCAGTGACAGACCTCAGCTGCAGGAGCAGACCATCCTGGAGCAGGACATGTCCACAAGTCAACAGCTGGAACTCAAAACTGCTGTGGTTCAAACAGAGTCTGTCAGACATGTTGCAGTCCGAGGAGCAGAAGAGGACACTCCTGGAACAGAAGATAGAGGAGCAGAAGATAGACTACCACTGAGACCAGCTCCACTCTGAGGCAGCAGCGTCAGGAGAAGCTGCTCCCAAAGAAGAACAGAAAAAGAGGTGGTACTTATGTGGCTCTCAAGGAGCTTCCAGCCAAAAAGACCAAACTAAAAATAATAATAATAATATATGAAACTTGTATGGCGCTTTTGTGACACTCAAAGATGCTTTACAAAACACAGAAAATCCACATTGAAGAACAAAATTAAGGAAAGGAAAGCTGAAACAGGAAGGATTTTGTATTTCATGCAGTAAGAAACAGGGAGCCAATGAAGTTGTTTGAGGACAGGGGTGATGTGATCTCTGGAACGGGTGTGGGTGAGCAGGGCGGCAGAGTTCTGGATGTATTGTTGCTCTTGGAGATGAGTGGAAGGGAGACCGTGGAGGAGGCTGTTGCAGTAGTCCAGTCTGAAGGTGATGAAGGCGCGAACCAGTATTTCAGCAGTGTATTGTGAGAGGGAGGGAGGAGGATGTAAAAAAGATATTTTGGAGATGAGGTTGATGTAGGTGAAGATGTAGACCTGAGTGTCGTCGGCGTAGCACTGAAAGTGGAGTCCATGGTGACGAAGCATGTATAACAGTACAGACCAAAAGTTTGGACACACTTTCTCATTCAACGAGTTTCCTTTCTTTTCATAACTATTGACTGTAGATTCACACCCAGGCTGTGTGAGGGCTATTTGACCAATAAGGAGAGTGATGGGTGCTGGGCCAGATGACCTGTACTGTATATAATGAAGAGGAGGGGGCCGAGTACCGAACCTAGTTCCAGAACTACGGATACCTTGAAACTGGATTGACTCAAAAACTGATCTGAAACCTGTGTTATTTCCACAAAAGGACTCTTAACACCAAGCCCTGATCTGTAAGTACAGTGCTACGCCGTATACTTCTGTAAACTAAAAAAATAGGGTCTGATTCTGGATCAAGGACATAGAGCTCGATGTGTTGGATTGCCATTATTGGAAAAAGTTTATTCTCAGGTCTGAAATGACAATGTACCAGTAAAGCTGAAGAGTTTGCTTTGGAGATAAACTAGGCTACGTAACTGCGCGGGCGAGGGGAGACGGACTCATGGGCAGAGGTGCAGACTCTTCTCTGGATAAACTTGTTTGAATTGAGGTTAGTACATTATTATCACACATATACATAATATGGAAAGACGCTACACATGTCATTACTCATTCATTTTATACACAGTGGTGAGAAACTATTACAATAGCCACAGCTACCTTGGGTCACACTGACAGAGGCGAGGCAATCCTCCGACCATCATCAAGCATTCACACACACATCAGACTCATTCTAGGCAACGTGGGTGAAGTGGTTTGCCTAGGGACACAACAACAGTTTGGCACTTTACAGCCACAGCAGCCCCACTGTGGCACCTGGTGTTCCCAGAGGTCTCCCATCACACCACTACCCAGGCCCTGTCCTGCTTAGCTTCATAAGTCTGCCAGATCTAGCTTTCGCATGCAAGTATGGCCACTTCACCTCACTTTTCCCAATGCATTGACTTCTAAATAATTGGTTTTCTAGTTCTCCTATATTCCGAGCCCTATACAACATTCATCTTGTTGTCTCTTTTCCTTATCCTCGTCATTTGTCCGTTTTTGTGTGTGATCCATCTTACAGAGTCGCACCAGCTCCACAGCCTCCTGTTAGGGCAAGCAGATGTTTCCCAGAGCGTGTTGAATGATACATGCCCATTGCCTAATTGAAGGTCTATGAAATCCGCAGTTTACCGATGCCAGCCGTTTCCGCAGCCGCAGCCAAGCGGCGGCTGTGACGGCAGGTTCTGACCTTGCTGTAATTGTAGAGACAAAGCCATTTATCCTCTTCATGGTGTACACATCTGTGGTTGTGCGACAGAACCGGGATATCCCGAATCCCAAACCCAAACAGAGGGACATCGCTATCGTAGAGCCAGTGTTTTTGTGGTCAAATACAGTATGTTTGATTGAGCTAGTGCCTTATTTTTTCTGACTTAAGTAAAATTATATAGTAAGTAAAGTAAATTAAAAGTAGTAGTAGTTACAATACTACTATTGTTACTAGTCTACTACTACTACTATTACTAGTCAGTAATGTCAGATTGTGCAATGCAAAACCACATGTGTCCACTGTCACTTTACTTTACTCATCTGTGCAATGATAATTTTAATTAGAGTTGGAGGGTTAGAGATTTTATACTTACTTCTTTATTGTGCTAAAGATAGAGATTTTGTACTTGCTTATTCACTATGAGATCAGGATACAAAAAAATAACATTAACCAACAATATATAGTTTGAAAAAGAAAGATAATATTTCAATGCTATATTTAAATGAATGAAAAAATAAGTAATACAATATTTTGTGTCCCAACTAATAGAGTCATGTACAAGTTTTATGTGTGAACAAATCAGACCACAATACGCTGGCTTCACCTAAGTATAACATTGTTTGTATTGTTTGCATACTTAAGAAAGAGCCCAGTGGGTCATTATCTAACTCTTTGGGCTGAGAGCTGTGATGAGTGAGGGTGGTCATCTCTTCTCTCTTTTAATGTTTCTCAAAATCTAATCTAAAAATGGCCAAAGAGGCCAAAGAATGCATGCAGGTGAGAACTAGTGATAGCTGGATTTCAATGCATAGTTCAAATTGGTTGTAATTTGTAAGTGAATTAATGGTAAAAGAAGGATAATACCTGTTTGGCTTTATCCTGATTTGAGTATACAGTGGGGCAAAAAAGTATTTAGTCAGCCACCAATTGTGCAAGTTCTCCCACTTAAAATAATGACAGAGGTCTGTAATTTTCATCATAGGTACACTTCAACTGTGAGAGACAGAATGTGAAAAAAAAAATCCAGGAATTCACATTGTAGGATTTTTAAAGAATTTATTTGTAAATTATGGTGGAAAATAAGTATTTGGTCAATAACAGAAATTCAACTAAATGGAAGGAGGTTTTGGCTCAAAATCTCACGATACATGGCCCCATTCATTCTTTCCTTAACACGGATCAGTCGTCCTGTCCCCTTAACAGAAAAACAGCCCCAAAGCATGATGTTTCCACCCCCGTGCTTCACAGTAGGTATGGTGTTCTTGGGATGCAACTCAGTATCCAAACACGACGAGTTGAGTTTATACCAAACAGTTCTACTTTGGTTTCATCTGACCACATGACATTCTCCCAATCCTCTGCTGTATCATCCATGTGCTTTCTGGCAAACTTCAGACGGGCCTGGACATGCACTGGCTTCAGCAGGGGGACACGTCTGGCACTGCAGGATTTGATTCCCTGTCGTCGTGTGTTTACTGATGGTAACCTTTGTTACTTTGGTCCCAGCTCTCTGCAGGTCATTCACCAGGTCCCCCCGTGTGGATCTGGGATCTTTGATCACCGTTCTCATGATCATTTTGACCCCACGGGATCAGATCTTGCGTGGAGCCCCAGATCGAAAGAGATTATCAGTGATTGAAATATCGTTTTGGGCTACATTTGGGCTATCTTTTATACCAGGGGTGCTCACACTTTTTCAGCATGCGAGCTACTTATAAAAGGATCAAGTCAAAATGATCTACTTACTACAAAAATGCAAATCATATATTTATTTCAAAAAATATTCTTTATACCTACAATGTATGTTTATGTACATGCAAAACCGCATGAGCCAATATAGCACAACAAAACACAATTACCTATGTAAATTTTTTGTCATTACCCGAGTTTACTCTTATGACTTGCACTGAATTGAATCGGCCAGGGATGCATAGTCCGGAAAATTGGTGGTAACTCGCTGACAAGTTTGTCGTGGTTTAGCTTTCCTGCACTGAGCGCGGTTGTTTGCGCATGTGCAGTCACCTAAGTGTCAGTAAAACTTTACTGAGTAAACCACAGATGTCATTTGACTGTGGTGCCATGTCCATGTGCCATGCCTGTTTTTTTTAAATCCAAATATTTCCCCTCCTCAGTTTATAAAATAATTTGCATCCACACATCTGCGTTATCAATCACATTCGTAACATTCCAAACATGTGCGTCTCTTACGTCCTGTCCTGCGTTGGGGAAAAACACAGAAGTGGGCGGAGCTTTGATGCAGACACCGGTAACGCCACTTTTACAGTCATAGAAGACACTCAGAGTAAAGACGTATGTTTACAAGCACTGACCCCGTCCTCAGCCCTGATTTAGCCCTGGTTTAGCCCTGGTTTAGTCCTGGTTTAGTCCTGGTTTGGTTGTTTTCGAGCGTGAGTACCCGCGATCACTTTGCTGCTCTCTGATGTGGAGCGAGGATGTTCGCTGCTGCGAGCATCTCACAGCGAACAGTTTTTAAGGTAGTATGATCCATGCTTCAGTGATCAGAGGAATTTAGGGGGGTACTGTGGCGTGCGAGAACGCAAAACTCCGGTTATCTCTGTCTACACACAAATGCATTAACGGAGTTTTCAAAAATCTCCACTTTGCCCGGAGTTTTTTGTATATATTCGTTTAGAATGTGTATTTATTTATTTATTTAATGCGATCTACCAATACTATCTTTGCAATCGACTGGTAGATTGCGATCGACGTATTGAGCACCCCTGTTTTATACAGATAAGGAGTTCAAACAGGTGCCATTAATACAGGTAACGAGTGGAGGACAGAAGAGCTTCTTAAAGAAGAAGTTACAGGTCTGTGAGAGCCAGAGATCTTCCTTGTTTGAAGTGACCAAATACTTATTTTCCACCATAATTTACAAATAAATTATTTAAAAATCCTACAAGGTGAATTCCTGGATTTTTTTTCCACCTATGATGAAAATTACACACCTCTGTCATTATTTTAAGTGGGAGAACTTGCACAATCGGTGGCTGACTAAATACTTTTTTGCCCCACTGTAGTACACCATCTACAAAGAAAATTTGCCCATGGAACAAGAACTAAAGATATTGTGTTATTTTATTGAAAGCAAAAAAGACAAGCAATTTCTTACTTGCCTACATGTCATACTGAGATAAGACTACTGTCAAA